TAATAATAATAACAATTATAGATAGCGACACTGAAGGGGTAGGAGTAAAGAATACATTAAAAAAATGTAATGACGACTCCGATTAGCAAGATTGGCTACGTACGGTGGCGAAAGATGTCCGACATACATACACAATTGCTCAAACTTTATAACCTGCGCTCCAATCAATGCAATTCCTTCTGTAGAACATTCTTTGGATCCTAGTGACCACGAACAAATATGACCATGCAGGATTATCGAGGGAAATGTATTACTGCACGAAATAGCCGATCACTGTACTCTGAATGCTCCGCGTCCAGGAGGATTGGGAGAAGATCACAGACGTGAAAAATCTCATTTATATTACGTTGCAAAGCAAACAGGGCTGAATGTAATGATAATAACAACACAATAGCCCTTTGCCAATCCACTGCTGTATGTATGTTAAACTTCTTTCGCACCGTACGTAGCCAACCGTGCTAATCGGAGGTGCAATGTTAAATCTATGGGTAGTGTTGAGTCTATGGGTAGTGTGAGTCTATTGGCAGTACGTGTGTTGAACTTCTTTCGCACCGTACGTAGCCAACCGTGCTATAGGAGGTGCAGTGTTGAGTCTCTGGGTAGTGTTAGTCTATGGGTAGCGTTAGTCTATGGGTAGTGATAGTCTATGGGTAGTGTTGAGTCTATGGGTAGTGTTAGTCTATGGGCAGTGTTAGTCTATGGGTAGTGTTGAGTCTATGGGTAGTGTTAGTCTATGGGCAGTGTTAGTCTATGGGTAGTGTTGAGTCTATGGGTAGTGTTAGTCTATGGGTAGTGTTAGTCTATGGGCAGTGTTGAGTCTCTGGGTAGTGTTATTCTATGGGTAGTGTTGAGTCTATGGGCAGTGTTGAGTCTCTGGGTAGTGTTAGTCTATGGGTAGTGTTGAGTCTATGGGCAGTGTTGAGTCTCTGGGTAGTGTTAGTCTATGGGTAGTGTTGAGTCTATGGGCAGTGTTGAGTCTCTGGGTAGTGTTAGTATATGGGCAGTGTTAGTCTATGGGCAGTGTTGAGTCTCTGGGTAGTGTTAGTCTATGAGTGGTGCTGAGTCTATGGGCAGTGTTGAGTCTATGGGCAGTGTTGAGTTTGTGGGCAGTGTTGAGTCTGTGGGCAGTGTTGAGTCTATGGGCAGTGTTGAGTCTATGGGCAGTGTTGAGTCTGTGGGCAGTTTCGATTTAAAGCTATGGGCAGTGTTGAGTCTGTGGGCAGTGTTGAGTCTGTGGGCAGTGTTGAGTCTATGGGCAGTGTTGAGTCTATGGGTAGTGTTGAGTCTATGGGCAGTGTTGAGTCTATGGGTAGTGTTAGTCTATGGGCAGTGTTGAGTCTCTGGGTAGTGTTCGTCTATTGGCAGTACGTGTGTTGAACTTCTCTCGCACCGTACGTAGCCAAACGTGCTCATCGCACGTGCACGGGTGAAGGCCCTGCTCCCAACCCACGCCATTGTCGGTCAAGGAGGTTGTCTGGCCACGCTTCACCACCACGTCGTGGTGACGACGTTCAGCTCCACAATCTCGGAGCGGGGGCAAAGTTCAGATGTCACTCAGACGCGGTCTCCCATGCTTGGTGGTGGCGGGGGGGTGGGACTCGAACTCAGGCGCGCGGAGCGAGTGAAACGCAACCGAGCCGTGAAGCGTGTTGTTTTGTTTGCTGGAAAATACCCGTGGAATTTCACGGTTTAAGTCACAACCCCCCCCCCCCCCCTAGTACACCAACCACCAAAGATTCCATTTAGCCCCCCCCCCCCCAATTCTCCCATTAGACTCGCAAAGACAAAGCTCTCCCGTTGTAGCCTTAACAAACTTTCGGGGCAAGTTCTGTTAGCGAGCACCTATTAAGGCCGGCACGGCAAACGAAGGGGGACTTTAATATGACGAGCAAGTGACGAGCAAGAAAAAAAAACTGCCCCGGTCGCCTTTTGTGTCCTCCAGCACTGATGTTTACACGCAGCACGAGACACTGATTTGAGGCTCAGGTGAATGTGGAGAGGCCCGCGCCCGGTTCAGAAACTGGCAAGAGTCACTCGCAAATTGATGAACGGGAATCGAACTCGGGACGCAGGTGTTCGGAACGCAGCGGTCCCGCACCGCACCGACACCGATTCCCCCGCTGTGACGCACGCATTAATATTCAGTTTCAACCCACTGCTGGATGAAACACACATTCACAACGCTGGGCAAGACGGCTTCAACGTACTAGGACCGATTCAGATTGCCTATATAAGTCGCCACTGATGTTAGCCGTGGCCGGCGATAACTCGGAACGCTGGGCTCAGAGCACCAGTGCGCTAACCATTGCGCCACCACTCCGCATGCATACACACGTACGTGTGTATATATATACGTAGAAACTTTCAGGGTAATCCACGTACGGATACCCCACTAATTTCTAATGCACCTCTTCATTTCTTCCCAACCAACGATTGCTATTGCGAAGGCGACGGCACGAATGTTTCCGCGGGTGGAGTGTTTACAAGGTGCCATGTCTATTGAGATTGGTGGGACGCGTGTAGAGAGGCTTTGAAGTTAAATTGTCGTTGTATCTGTGACGCTTCCCTGTCGTGTTGGTGGGGTATCTATATATGGATCGCCCTGTATATTACACAGTTTCACGAATGTGTATTTCTACTGTATCATCACGGTCATGCCCATCATCACCATCACAGTCATCACGAGTACCATCATCACCATCATCACTATCATCACCACCATCAGCACCATCGTAACCACACCACCATCATTCTCACCATCAATAGTACCATCATCATCATCACCACAGCCGCCATCACCACCATCATCATTACCACCACCACAACAACAACCACTATTATCGTTACCACCACCATGACCATCATCCCAATCACCACCGTTACCATAAGCATCACCATAACTACCATCACGGTTACTACCATCATCATCATTAGCACCACCATCACCATCATCATCACCACGACCATCATCACCATCACCACCGTTCCCACCATGATCATTGTCATCATGGTCACTGCCACCATCATCATCACCACGACCATCATCACCATCACCACCTATGAAGGCATGGACGGCACACGAGGGGATGGGTGGCCAGCTCCACGCTCGATCGTCTCTGTCTCCCCACTAACGACGCTTACACACCCCCACGAAGTACTCATTTGAGGCTGAGTCGACCTAAGCGAAACCCAGGACCGGTTCAGATAATCGTCACTGGTGTTGGCCGTGAGCGGGAACTCGGAACTCGGGTCGTTGGGTTCGTAGTGCCGCGCGCTAACCGCTGCACCACCGCTCCCACACGATAACCACCACCCATCATTACCACCACCACTTCCACCATCAATCTAAATTTAACTTTCTATTCTACCTGTTAAAGCCCACTGAGCTACGTAGCTCTTCTTCAGAAGCGGTCTGGCCACAAATGATAGCCCAACGAAGTGGGCTTATCGCGTGGACATTCACAGCAGCCAAACAACTCTCAACGCCAGATTCTAAATGTGGTATAGGGAAAAAAACGGGAGGACCCGGAGAAAAAAATCCACGCGATCGCGGGCAGAGAGAGAGAGACACGCAAACTCCAAATATACAGCAGCAGGCATCGTCAGGGTCGGGATCGAACCCACGAACCTCCTGTATACCAGGCGAGGTAGTCAACATCTCCTAGCCACCGTGATGTTGATCAGAGAGAGAGACACGCAAACTCCAAATATACAGCAGCAGGCGTCAGGGTCGGGATCGAACCCACTAACCTCCTGTAGACCAGGCGAGGTAGTTAACATCTCATAGCCACCGTGATGTTGATCAGAGAGAGAGAGACACGCAAACTCCAAATATACAGCAGCAGGCGTCAGGGTCGGGATCGAACCCACGAACCTCCTGTATACCAGGCGAGGTAATTAACATCTCCTAGCCACCGTGATGTTGATCAGAGAGAGAGACACGCAAACTCCAAAAATACAGCAGCAGGCGTCAGGGTCGGGATCGAACCCACGAACCTCCTGTAGACCAGGCGAGGTAGTTAACATCTCATAGCCACCGTGATGTTGATCAGAGAGAGAGAGACACGCAAACTCCAAATATACAGCAGCAGGCGTCAGGGTCGGGATCGAACCCACGAACCTCCTGTATACCAGGCGAGGTAGTTAACATCTCATAGCCACCGTGATGTTGATCAGAGAGAGAGACACGCAAACTCCAAAAATACAGCAGCAGGCGTCAGGGTCGGGATCGAACCCACGAACCTCCTGTAGACCAGGCGAGGTAGTTAACATCTCATAGCCACCGTGATGTTGATCAGAGAGAGAGAGACACGCAAACTCCAAATATACAGCAGCAGGCGTCAGGGTCGGGATCGAACCCACGAACCTCCTGTATACCAGGCGAGGTAATTAACATCTCCTAGCCACCGTGATGATGATGATGAGAGAGAGACACCGCAAACTCAAAATATACAGCAGCAGGCGTCAGGGTCGGGATCGAACCCACGACCTCCTGTATACCAGGCGAGGTAGTTAACATCTCCTAGCCACCGTGATGATGATGAGAGAGAGAAACACGCAAACTCCATATATACAGCAGCAGGCGTCAGGGTCGGGATCGAATCTCACGACCTCCTGTATACCAGGCGAGGTTGTCAACATCTCACCACGGGGAGAGAGAGACACACAGAAACTCAAAATGTACAGCAGCAGGCGTCAGGGTCGGGATTGAACCCCACGACCTCCTGTATACCAGGCGAGGTAGTCAACATCTCCTAGCTACCGTGATGATGAGAGAGAGAGACACCGCAAACTCCAAATAAACAGCAGCAGGCGTCAGGGTCGGGTTTGGACCCGCGACCTCCTGCATACCAGGCGAGGTAGTCAACATCTCCTAGCCATCGTCATGATGACGAGAGAGAGACACGCAAACTCCAAATATCCAGCAGCAGGCGTCAGGGTCGGGATCGAACCCACGAACCTCCCGTACACCAGGCGAGGTAGTCAACATCTCCGCCTACCTGCAGCTGCTGCGAGCACCCGTACTGGATGAGCGGCGTGAAGGTTTGCAGCTGCAGCTCGGCGTCCAGCTGCAGCTCGTTGCCCAGCAGGTTGGGCATGCGGGTCACGTTGTAGCCCAGGTGGTGGCACATGGAGATGCGGATGGGCTCGCATCGCCTCTCGTCTTCGTCGTCATCGCCGCCGTCGCCCGCCGCCAGACCCACGGCGACCCCGAACGCGGCCGCGGGTCTCGGTACTCCGCGCGTCGTCAGCAGCAGTAGCAGCAGCGGCAGCAGCGGCAGCAGCGGCTGTGACGGTAGCAGGCGGCGAGACGATAGCAGCGCCGCCGTCCTTAGACGCCCCATGACGGTCTTGAGACTCTGCCTGTCCCACGCGATGCTCTGTCGGTGATGGTGGTGGTGGTGCTGCTGCTGCTGCTGACGTTATTGCAGAAGGAGTTGGTAGGTGATGTTGATGATGACGGTGATGTTGGTAGAGTAGGTGGATGATGATGTTGCTGATGATGGTGATGTTTCGGCTACTGTTGCTAGCGGTGGTGGTGGTGGTGATAGTGGTGGACTTGGCGATGATGTTTCTGCTACTGTTGACAGTGGTGTTGGTGATGATGATGATGAAGAAGAAATTTGAGGTATATGGATGATGCTACTCTGTGACAGACGATGCTTCTATTGCTGCTGCTGCTGATGATGATGCTGCTGCTGCTGCTGATGATGATGATGCTGCTGCTGATGATGATGATGCTGCTACTGCTAGCTGACACTGATGCTGCTTGCACTTCTCCGTTACAGGTAATGTTTCAGCTACCGATTATTATACCGCTGATGATGCCGCTTCTGATTATGATGATGATGCCCCTGATACCGCTACCCCTGATGATGATGATGCTGCTGATGATGATGATATCCCGAGTGCCGAACCTTCAACGTCGCGGGCACAACCAACACCGGACGTCCTGGGCAGACACGGGTTTTGTAAATTCCCAGGCGCCTGTGGCCTCTTCCGTCTCGGCGCACGCAGCCGCGTTCCTCTCCCCGCCTCCGACAAAAGTTCCACTCCCTGGTCCCAGTCTCAAGCAACGACTCTTGCCACAGCAGCAACGGGTGTGTGGGGGGGGGGATTGTCAAGCAACACGCAACTTTGCCGCTATCCTCCGCGCAACGCAAACAGCAGCAAGCAATTCGCCGTTTAGCCACGCAGCGACAGTGAGGTCACCGCTGCGCTTGTGCCAGGCTGGGTCGCACCTCGAGGCCGCGTCTCGAGGTCTTCTCGTCTCGCTCGCCGCTGTTGCAACTTCAGCGCGCCCGCGGCGAACTGAAACTTGGGCTGCCCAACGGGCGCCTCGCGCACTCATCCGCAGCGAGGTAGGTGGGGGGGGGGAGTCTCCGATGTCGGCTATTGGCCGCGGACTCGCGCGGTGATAGACGTCGTGGAACGGTGGTGGTGGTGTTGGGGAGGGGGAGGAGCAGGGCTGTAGTCCCGGCAATAGGGAACGGAGACAGCGCGAGGTGACAGCAGCAGCAGCAGCGGCGGCAGCGGCGGCCACCCCCAGCAGCGTCAGGCATCAGCGACAGGGGGTGGTGTGAGGAGTGTTGCGGTCGAGGCAGAGCCAAGGATGGGAAGGGAGGGAGAGTGAGCGGAGGGGGGTGGTGCGTGTGGGGGGGGGGGTGAGAGAGGAGGAGCGCAACTCCAGCCAATAGGGTGGCGGGGAAGCATTGTCGAGGGTGGGTTGCTCACCCGGGCTGGGATGGTTCACCCGTGCTGGGATTGCTCACCCGGGCTGGGATTGCTCACCCGGGCTGGGATTGCTTACCCGGGCTGGGATTGCTCACCCGGGCTGGGATGGTTCACCCGGGCTGGGATTGCTCACCCGGGCTGGGATGGTTCACCCGGGCTGGGATTGCTTACCCGGGCTGGGATTGCTCACCCGGGCTGGGATGGTTCACCCGTGCTGGGATTGCTCACCCGGGCGGGGATGGCTCACCCGGGCTGGGATTGGTCACCCGGGCTGGGATTGGTCACCCGGGCTGGGATTGCTCACCCGGGCTGGGATTGCTCACCCGGGCTGGTAAACCAGTGGGGAGTCAGAGAGAGGAGGTCCTTGAAGCGTTCGCGTTCCGCTCGCTCCCGCAAGCCCCAAGTGGATTTTGAGCGCGCGCAACGCAAAGACAAAGACCCCCCCCCACCCCCGCCACTACACACCGCATCGGCCGTATCGACCTAAGAGAGACCCAGGCAGGGCCTCCCCTAGGTCGACTCAGCCTTAACAGTGAGTACCTGGCGCGGTGTGTAAACGTCACCACTGGGGAGACAAAGGCGGCCCGGCGTGGTATTGACCACCCACCACCTCGTCTGTCGTCGCGCCCTTCATGGGTGCTCGCTAACAGCACTTGCCCCAATAATACGTTAAAGCCTTTACGGGGGGCCTTTGTTTTGAATTGTTGATAGGCGAGTGAGTGGATTGGTGTGTTCCTGGATAGGTCAGTGGATAGGCGAATGAGTGGATAGGTTGGTCAGTGAGTGAGTGGATAGGTGAGTGAGTGTGTTGCTGGGTAGGTGAGCGGATAGGTGAGGAAGCGAGTGAATGACCGTGGTATTGAGTGACTGTGTGAGCACGTGACTTGGTGATTTGATGAGTGACTTGGTGATTTGATGAGTGGTCGCTTCTATCGCTACCGCCATGGTCACCGTTCAAGTGAACTCCACTCGTTCATTCCCTCCACCCGTGTTGAGGAGTCGATCTCCCAGACACGGCAGGTCACAAAGCTCCCCCGTGTAGCCTGAGCAGACTGGGGGCGGGGGGGGCAAGGGGGTAGGGTGGCCAGCACCACCTCTGTCTCCCCACTGGCGATGTTTGAAACACCGCACCCAGGTTGATAATTTGAGGCTGAGTCAACCTAGGGCTCACAAACCGGTTTCAGATAATCGTCGGCTCGTGGTGGACTTGAGCGGGAATCGAACTCGGGTCTCTGCCGGGTTCGATTTGCTACCACTCCCCACGCACGACGTCATACAAACTTAAAACAAATACCCCCCATAGAGCCTTCAACACACTGTTTGGGCAAGTGCTGTTAGCGAGCACCTATGAAGGCCGACAAGGCACACGGGAACGTGGGTAGCCAACACCACGCCCGGCCGCCTTTGTCTCCCCCCGCGGCGATGTTTACACACCGCACCGGGTACTCGTTTGAGTTGACCTCGGGGGAGGCCCCGGGACCGGTTCAGATAATCGTCCGTGCTGTTGGTGACCGTGAGCGGGAATCGAACGCCGCGTCGCTGGGTTCGTAGGGCAGCCACGCTAACCACTGCGCCACCGCTCCTCCCCCCCCTCCCCTCACACACGCGCGCGCACCTCAAATAATTATCACGACAGCAGCAGTGGCAGGCGGTATCTTCGTCTTTCTAAGGGGCCGTCCATAAATGACGTCACGCGACTTTGGACGATTTGACCCCCCCCCCTCGTTACACGGCGTCACAAAAAGTCAGACCCCCCCCCCTCAAATATGACGTCACAAAACTCCGCCCCCCCCCTCCCCCAAAAAAACATATTTCCATTTTGAAAATAAAACATGCTTCAAATCGCTTTAAACTATTGTCATTGTAGTGCGTATTTAATGTGGCGCTGCACTCTGATGCCGTAGGAGTGTTGTCATAACAATTCTATATTTATTTAAAGTTGTGCATTTTGATGTGACGTCACATTTCTCAAACGCCCCCCCCTCGTCACAACATCGTCACAAAAATCTGTCCCCCCCCCCCCACCTAGGTGCGTGACGTCATTTATGGACGGCCCCTAAGCCTGCGGCAGGAAGAGAGGAGGGCGAGAGAGACAGAGAGATCTCCTCGTTGGATATGTGTCGTGTTAGGGGGGGGGGGGGGGCCGTGATGAATGTGGGGTGAGGGTGGTGGGGGACGCGTGAGCCCCCTCGGCCATTCACCCTCCTGGGCCCGGCCACGGCTTCAGAAAGGGCCTAATTAGGCGTGCGAAAAGAAGCATCTTGTTTCCTGCACGGAGATTAGTCGGGTACCCCTGGCCTCGGGAGGCGTGAATCACAAGGGGATTTCAAGGGGGTGGAGGAGGTGGAGGAGGAGGAGGGGGTGGAGTAGCGGCCGCGGTGTAAATGGAACGAACGCACGTGTCGCGTTTAACTATACAACAACAATAAGAGGCAAAAAGCGACGGAACACCCTCACTGATTATTGTCATGATTTTTGTGGCCGTGTCGGTTTTCATCGACCCGGTCCTCGTCCGCAAGGTGCGACCGGTGGCACTTCTGGGCTTGTGGCCGCTCGGTCGACATCGTAGTGGTGGTCGTGGTTCGTGGTGGTGGTTGGTGGTGGTGGTGTTGGTTGGTGGTGGTGGTGGTGGTCGCGGTTGGTGGTTGGTGGTAGTGGTCGTGGTTAGTGGTGGTGATGTTGGTTGGTGGTGGTGGTCGTGGTTGGTGGTGGTTGGTGGTGGTGGTCGTGGTTGGTGGTGGTGGTGTTGGTGGTCGTGGTTGGTGGTCGCGGTTGATTGTGGTGGTCGTGGTTGGTTGTGGTGGTCGTGGTTGGTGGTGGTCGTGGTCGGTGGTGGTGGTCGTGTTGGTGGTGGTGGTGGTTGGTGGTGGTGGTCGTTGTTGGTGCTGGTGGTCGTGGTTGGTGGTGTTGGTGGTGGTTGGTGGTGGTAGTCGTGGTTGGTGGTGGTTGGTGGTGGTGGTAGTCGTGGTTGGTGGTGGTGGTGGTCGTGGTTGGTGCTGGTGGTCGTGGTTGGTGGTGTTGGTGGTGGTTGGTGGTGGTAGTCGTGGTTGGTGGTGGTGGAAGTCGTGGTTGGTGGTGGTGGTGGTGGTGGTTGGTGGTGGTGGTAGTCGTGGTTGGTGGTGGTCGTGGTTGGTAGTGTTGTTAGTGGTTGGTGGTGGTAGTCGTGGTTGGTGGTGGTGGTGGTGGTTGGTAGTGGTTGTGGCTGGTGGTGGTGGTCGTGGTTGGTGGTGGTGGTGGTTGGTGGTGGTGGTAGTCGTGGTTGGTGGTGGTAGTCGTGGTTGGTGGTGGTTGGTGGTGGTGGTGGTGGTGGTTGGTGGTGGTGGTGGTGGTTGGTGGTAGTGGTGGTAGTGGTTGGTGGTGGTGGTAGTCGTGGTTGGTGGTGGTGGTGGTTGGTGGTGGTGGTCGTGGTTGGTGGTGGTCGTGGTTGGTGGTGGTCGTGATTGGTGGTGGTGGTCGTGGTTGGTGGTGGTGGTCGTGGTTGGTGGTGTTAGCGGTGGTGGTGGCTACAAACGCAGGGCTGGCTACGTGGCTGCATCATCCAGCACGCTGTGTGTCGAGGCATCAGCGAGGGTTGGTAGATCACCGCACGAGCGCACACAAACGCAGACGATGTTGCCAACAAAACCAAAACTTCCTTTTTTTCCCGAGGGTTCCAGGAGAAGGCAGCAGGGCAAGTGTCCTCCTCCACATCTTATTAATCACCGACGACGCCTTCATTTGCTCATAGCGGGATCGATCGGAAAGTTTCCGCTCACCGCTTTATGAGGCCCTCCATGGTGTTTTTTTGTTGCGGGGGGGGGAGGCGTTCATCTTAACAGTCGCGCACTTCTCTCGGTGGCTACTCCCCCACCTTACGTGCCAAGACGTCTGGCTAGCATGGAAAGAGTGACGCCAAAATCGCCCTCTTGAAAAGGATTCCCCTTCCACCAACAGCGTTGTTAGCAAAGCAATTGCACGGGCTGCGCTTTTACCCCCCCCCCCCTCCCCTTATTTTTTTGACAGTGTTATTGGTCTAAGAATTCTTGGCAATCAAAATGTGCGGATATTTTATCATGGGGGGGGGGGGGGGTCACCACGGGCGCGCACGCTCCGACTCCGTCCGGTAAACAATCCCAGGGAGTCTTTTCCTGCGGCTCCGACATCCTGCGGAGGGGCTCGCCTCGTGCACAGTCGCTCCATTCAACGGGCTCTTGGCTGGCGCCACGCGGGTTTAGACGGCCCTGAATCACCCACCGCCAACATCGGCTGCCCCCGAGTTAACATCGCCCGCCACCCGGGGGCCTGAGAGTTAACATCGCCCGCCACCCGGGGGCCTGAGAGTTGACATCGCCCGGCACCTGGGGGCCTGAGAGTTAACATCGCCTGGCACCCTGGGGCCTGAGAGTTAACATCGCCCGCCACCCGGGGGCCTGAGAGTTAACATCGCCCGCCACCCGGGGGCCTGAGAGTTAACATCGCCCGCCACCCGGGGGCCTGAGAGTTAACATCGCCTGGCACCCGGGGGCCTGAGAGTTAACATCGCCCAGCACCCTGGGGCCTGAGAGTTAACATCGCCTGGCACCCGGGGGCCTGAGAGTTAACATCGCCTGGCACCCGGGGGCCTGAGAGTTAACATCGCCCAGCACCCGGGGGCCTGAGAGTTAACATCGCCCAGCACCCGGGGGCCTGAGAGTTAACATCGCCTGGCACCCTGGGGCCTGAGAGTTAACATCGCCTGGCACCCGGGGGCCTGAGAGTTGACATTGCCCGGGCCCGACATGCTGAGCACCCAGTTCTCATGCCGAGTCAGGGAGGGCCCAGACCTGGCGATGTTGTCTCAACAGAATGCGTTCAAGTCGGTTTTGTTTAACCGCGTGGGAACTCACGAGAGTCCCG